TTCGTTACGATTAACTTCGATCGATAAAAAGAAAGGAAATGTAAATATCGAGCTGAACGCAGTGGAATTGTCACGATATGATACTCCTTTAGGCTTCGATAGCTACTTAACCCTCCATCAACAATTTTCTTAATTAAATTTCCTTCAAACTTCACGTCTCCAGGTCAAAACCTCCAAGTGTGTCACAAAAATATCTTCATTTTTAATCTGATTTTCAACTGACCGCTTCACTAGGTAATCAATCCTCATCAGTCTTCGTTCTACCAGACGCAGCTCGTCGCCACTGACGGTTCTTCGAATCATAGCGCAAACTATCGCTGGGAAACGATTAATTTGACGATTCGGCGACAACCTATAGCGCTAAGAGTCGACAAATGAGGTAATTAAACGGATCTAATTAGCGGCGGTTTATCGACAGCCAGATTAACAATGTCCGTTCAGGGCAATCGGGGGTTGCGCGACGCATCGGTGAACGCGCTCGCGTGCGCGCGAACAAAAGCCACGCTTTTGCCAGATTTTTCCCGTCGGGTGTGCCGTGCAAGACAGACAAACAGACAGACGCCTGTTCCCGCGAAAAATCACCGCGCTTCCGGTGGACAATGGCACCGCGCCAAGATAACGAGCAGGGTACGTGTTCGCGAGGATTTTGGTGCTTTAAGCAATCTCGATGGCGTCTTTGAATCACTTGGAATTTTTGGAAAAATTCTGAACATATTTATTGACGAGGAAAGGCCTGACATTTTATTTTAATTGGGATAGTAAAAATGTTTGGACAAAGATGATTAAATGTAGGTGATTCATAACTTCAGAAAAATGTTAATCGGAAAATTCAGAGCCTCGTATTTTTCTCAAATTTTTCTGAAGTTCGCGTGAACGGATACCGAGCACTCCAATTTTTATACTTTTATTTTTTTTAAATTAACAGCCGATAAAACATCTTTCTGTCTGCTCAGCACGAATTTATAAAGGAATTTTGGATCGCGTCTCTTTATACTTTATATGTCAATCAACGGCTAATGGAGAGAAGAATTAGCTCGCAGATCGCGGCGAATTAATGAAATTTCCTACAATTTTAATTTAGTTACCCCGTCGATTCGTGCGCGGTAAAGAGAGCTTTTACTTTAATTTTATTTTAATTGGTTGCCACCGGGAGAGCACACGCGATGGCAGAATTGATGAATTTTCCCTCGACCTTCATTCGATTTCGCCAGATCGCGAGTTTACAGGTTTAATTCTATTTTAATTGCTACTTGGCGCGAAGAACTGCGGGATTAACGAATTAACGTAAAACGTGAACTATGCAAAATAGCTCCCGTTTGGATGTTAAAGGAATTATCAGCCGGCGCTCGCGATGGGGGCATTAATGGACCTTCCTTTATATTCAGTTTCACTGGTAATTGGTTCGAAGAACCGAGGGGCCTCTCGTGGCGAAATTAACGATTCCTCTTTCAATTTTAATCATTATTTAGCGCGTCGGGGATTCGAGTTCGTTATCGCGCGATCAACGGGTTTTCTTACAATTTTGATCGTACGAGTGAAACGCGCACAGAAACGCTGGCTAGCAATCGAGGTTTTTACGATTTTGCTTTTGAAATTGAGTTTAATTTCCCCGTTAACGATTTCGAGTCTGCATCGATTCCCAATGGCTTCGAGATGACATTTTGAGAAGAATCTCATTAATTCTGACGCGTATGAAGGTAACGTGATTGTTAAGGGATATATTAAGAATGTTATCGGTGATAACTGCGGACTGGAACCTTCGAATGTCCGCCATTTTCCAACTTACAACGAGGAAAAACGTTACACCAAGTTTGAATATTGAAAAGTACGAGGTCCTGCTGCTTTGATATGTGGGGAAATCAAAATGGAAGACTATAAGTAGCCAGAAATAGAACAATCACCGGAATTCTACGTTAATTTTAGTTTATGTGCCTATTAAAAATTGAGGACATGTTTAATTCAGTGTAGAGTAAAATTGACAGCCCTTATATCACCCTGTAATACGCTTCTGGACTCTCAATCAACAATTTTTAATTTGTTATAGGTAAGAGGACACTTGGCTGATGATACATTTACAAGATTCAAGATTACAACATCAACAGCTCACTAATTAATCGATATATGAATCGTTACTCCCCATAAAATGTGATCTAGCAGTGCCTTAAAAAATTGGATGACTTTTAATGCATCTCGAACCAAGATCCTAAAACTCTGAGAAGTGCATCTACCTACAAAACAGAAGCCAGCGACGTTTCACAACAGTTGTGCGGTCTAAAACTTGCTCAACTTTATCAATAGTATACGAGTCGCTAACTACACCAACAGATAAATCATAGTAGTCAATAAAATCCGGTCCATCAGTAAGCAGTTTGCCGATGTTGGCTTCATCCAGGGATCCACCGTCTCTATCATATGAACCCTAAACCAGCATCTGACCTCAACGTCGTCAACCGCCCACACACGCTAACTAGCCAACAGATAAATCATCCCATGGATTCCCCATAAAATTCAATCGACGCGGAGAGCAACCAGGCACCGCCAGCGAGGCATCTAACAACGTCGTTGCAAAGATTGACAGGCGTACAGGCGGCCAAGTGAAAACACATGCCCGCAAACGTTAACAAACCGATCCAACGGCAACGTCGATTCGGAAAACGAATGTATCTTGCCATCTAAGCGGATGAATAAACGATGAAACGGTTTTCTCACGTGCCGGGCGTAGATCTTCCCTGGACGATCGCTGCGAGCGTCATCGCTACCCGCCGGGCTTTCCAGTAACGATACGTGCTCTGCGCTCGCGAAAACCGGAGAAAGTGAACGCAAAACGAATCAACCAAATGTTTCTAAACGGCGGCTACCGCCGAAATAAGCGTCAGAACGCGGATATCGGTTTGCGCAAACGCGTAACAAGTTCACCGCTGTCGCTCGTAAAAGTGACCCGCGGATACAGTAATTAAATACCGGCCGATTTTTCTACCAGCGAAGCTCTTTTTCACCGCGGCCTGCCCGAGGAATTCCTGATCGGAGAACCTGGCGGAACGATGCTTGAACTGGCTAAGGCAACGAACACCCGATCACTGCTGTTTTTTGGTGTAACAGAGACTCCCAGACGACTCTGACGCGGCAATTGACGACTTCTACAAGGACTTCTGGAAGATTCATGGGGATTCTGAGGAATTGCTGGGGAATACGACTCGAATGGGGACCTTGGTGGCTTGATTCTGACGATTTTTGAGGTGATGATGACTGGTAATCTTCAGAATTGTAATTTGGTTTCTCAAAGAACCAATGATTTTACTGAGGTCACAGAAGATATCTGATATTGACTAAATCCTCAGTAAATCCTCAGAAGTTCAACTTGGTTTCCCAAAGAACCAACAATTTCATTAAGATACTTAAACTCTCTAATATACTAGTTACTCAACGTTGAATCATAGACTTGGACTCTCTGAAAACACGAACGGCTCCTCGAATTTACTAAATCCGCACAGAAGAAACTTGATATCTCAAGAAACAACGATGTTGTCAACGCAACAGAAGTTCTTTTTACGCTTTGGTAACTCTGTCTCGGTGGGTTGTAATCCGAACAGCAAGTTTTTGAACATTTGCAACAACTCCGCGGAACTTCTAGACCTCAACTTCGATCACAGTCGCGAACTCGCGTTTTTGCGTGACCCGTTCCGCCAGCGTTGAGTCAAGTTTTTCGATTTCTACTTCGAGAGACTTGTTTACCCAATTTCAACAAAAACGAACGCCCCGGTGTTTTCGAAAACAACGATTTAACGAGGATTGGCTGTTTCTTTCGGGGATACCGTATCGCCGGTACGCTGAATCCTAAACCAAACACTCGTGGAGCCGAGTTTACATGTGAATATGACCACTACGATCACTTAACGTCCAGATTCACAGGTTTCATTGAAGTTCCACGAGCCTACGTGGCCGTAACACGCGCTACAACTGGTTGAGGACGCCGTTCGTAGCCAAAACAGGATATTTATCTGATCTTGTGACTCTGCCGCGAATAAGTAGCGCTTTATGACAGTTTTTGAACTCGCTTATCTATATAAAACCTGTTTTACTAGGAAAGAAGACTTGGGTATCTAATCTCTTCTACCCCTTATTATAACGTATACTGTCTGGAGAGACTTTGTATTCCGAAATTTACCTGAATTCGCAAATACGTTCAGTATTTTGAAGAGTAATTCATTTCTTGGCGATGTTGTCTCTACTATCCAGCCTATTTCCGGTCTGGAAAAGATACTGTATGAGATAGTTTCTCTAATTTGAATTCTGGTTGATCCGAAACAGAAGCCTAAATCGTCTAATTCACCAATTGTGGACTTGTTTCCAGGAAGTGAAAGGTTACAAGCCTCGTGCGACACGATATAGTGTGTTCAGTGACAAATAATTGTGAGTCCCAGTATAGAAGAATATGTGAATAAGTTTGTGACTGTATATCAAGATGAACGTTAACCTCAGTTCCCTACTAGATGCTGTTAAACCATAAATATTGCCTAGCAGTGGTCTCTCTGGATACTCTAAGCACTGTTTCTCGTCTAGGCACTTTGCTCTGCAAGGTTCATGAGCAAATTTTAATTATTCACCATCGACACCCTATGAAACGGACCTATCCACCCTTCAGAAAGAGATTTTTCAACGGACGGAAGCTCTACAGAAACAGGATTTTCAGCCCTAATACCTCTCATCGGTGGAACACAATGCTTCGATACACTTCATCCGAAAACTGGCCACTAGCGATCTAGGGAATCTTAGACGCAGACACGGCACTCATATGATTTCCATCTATCCTTCATCAGAAACGGATACTGTAACAAGTTAAGACCCGTACCGCAACACCGTTTATCGGGCACACTTCGGTGAAAACTGTCCACTGGTGATAACTAACGATCCTAATCTTTCGTCAACGCACTGACCCCTAGCCGCGAGTACACGACACTCGGAGGATCTTCGTGACTAGGATAAGAACACAGTTCGCTCACCTGGTGGCGTGATGCCGTGTGGGTTCAGATGCGGGTGATGATGCGCGCTACTGAGGATTCCTTTTCCTTGTAGATGATGCGCCGTCGGACCAGGCGAGCTGGTCGCCGGCAAGTGGGCCGCCGGATTGTAGAATCCGGCCGCTGCCAGGGTGGCAGCGCTGAAGTAGCTGGCCACGACTACTGCCGAGGACGGATGCGACAATTCCCTCTGGCTGAGCAACGGCGGCGGCGTTTCCGGTGCCGCGGCTGGACTACCAGGTCCTCCTGGTGGCGGTGAGGCGCTTCCTTGCGACGACGAACCGCCCAAAATCGGCGGATGAGTGTTGGCCGCGGTCAACAACGAGGAGACGCTGAAGTCCGTCGGTCGTGGGGCTGCTGGAGCCGGCAGGTGGCCGCCGGATATGTGTCCGTTGGGGTTGCTGGACGGTGTCCCAGCGATCGACGTTGGGAAGGGCGAGTGCTGATTCAGAGCCGTCGCTGACGCGGGGTACGCCATCCCAGGCCCCCCCGCCTCGGCCCTCGGCCCCGTGTTCGCACCCTCGACCACGTTAGCCTCCAATTCTCGTCTACGCCGTTGACCTTCTATGTCCTTCGCGGAGGAGTCCACCTCCTCCTCCACCACCTCCTCGACCCGTGATCGCTGCTGCAGCGCGGAGGGTTGCGGAGTGCTGGCGCAGTGGGTACCCCTGCACGCTGTGTCTTGTTCGAATCTCATCGAGACGGGCGAGTGTGCCGAGTCGCGCGAGATTCCTCTTCGAGTGACTCAAACCGAGGGACTCTATAACCTAACTGACGCACTGTCTGTCCACTAATCGCGACACTTCAGGCCGCTACAATCGCGTCTCTCGTGTCCGTTGTCTCTATCACTGGCTAGCTGACCCGTCCACCTATTAACTGTTCGGTTGATTCTCGGACATGTTTGGGAAGCGTCGCTCCGGCCCGCTCAGGAGCGGATTCCGCGGTCCTGGCTACGTTCTCGTAGCTCCCACTGGGATCTCTCGGTCGCCTCAAGCACCGTCGCGAGCCGTCCAGACGACATATCGTGCGTCGCGACGGTCTTGCTACGCGACGAACCTCTCGGCTCCCAGGAACAGCACTCTCTGTAAACACCCGGTCCACCAGCACCGTAAGCACACTTAATTCAATCAACGAAGACACACTGTGGGCCGTCGAGCTCTTCAACGAGCCGGTGGATTTTTCGGACGAGCCTGCTAGAGATGAAGCACTTAACGGGATAGTAGTTATCCTGCGGTTCACTGTTCACTGACGTGCACTAGGTCCGCGGGAAGTTCCTCCCAGCGCACGCTGATCACCTCACTGCCGAATCCGGTTTCGTTGGCGCGACGGGGGTACGCGACGACGCGGGAGAAGCTGGCGAGCAAGAGCGCACCGGTTCGAGCGGCGTCCGACGGCCGGACGACGCCGAGGACAGTTCAGCAAGCGTATATCCGCACGTGAAAATCAGACGACAAAAAGGCAAGAGAGAGGGCTCTACGGCTTGGCTCAGCAGCGAACCTCGGCTGGGGCTGGAGAGCGGACGAAAGGTGTTACTTGGGTGGCGCCGCGATGGTCACTGAGCAGCGCTAGGATTGACACCTCCTCTGGGGGCTCACCCCCACACCTCCCGCGGAGGTGTTGGTGTGCTAAAGTCCTCGTCCGGATTCAGGGCGTGTGTACGCGCGTCTACGTGTACGCGGACGCTCGCGTGTGCGTGTATACAGACGAGCGGAGTGTGCCTGCGCCGCCGAACGGACGCGGGAGGCGTGAATGCTGGAGGGCAGCGACGCGAAGACTGAGACGGTACAGGGGCTCCTCCTCCCTTCCCCTACGACCCCGAGTGACGCGCGCGGTGGGGGAACTCGCCAGTCGAGCCGTTCTGCGCTGTACGCTCGATGAAGAAGGAAATACGATTACGCGAGCGATAGAAGAGCGTGGACGTAGCAGTCTACTGGCGCCCTTCCACGAACTCCAGCGGGCGATAATGAGCGCTCGTAGCGCGGATTGGCGTTCCGGCGCCAATCCGAGGCGCGTTGCTCTCGACGCCTTTTCCGACGTTCAGCGTTTCTCTTGCACTCTCCGTGTTTCTCTCGTCTATCTCACTTATCCCCTCCACACACTAGGTTCTGCACGACGCTCCGAACGTTCTTCCCTCGATCTCTCTCTCTCTGCCACCACCCCCCACCATCCGGCGTGTAAGGGTGTTAACCGCGAGTACGCCCATTAACACCACCCTCCCCGCGGTCTCTGCTCCGTAGGCGGGGGTACAGTGTGGAGGGGGAAACGCCGATCGACGTTGCTCGAAACTTCGCTGCGAGAACGTTGGCGATTGACACGCTGGATTTTTACCGGTGCTTGCCGAACGACTCGTTTTCCGCGGACGCTTGACGTTGAGGTGTTTAACAAAGAGAATATTTCAGAATTCTCGTGGAAAAATGTCTGAAAGCATTTTTGAGAACGTTATGGTGAAAGTCTTGATCTTTTAAAAATTGGGAGAGTTTCTATAGTATAGTAAGAAAACGTAGTGTATCATTTCCACCGTGTTTCACTCGAGTTTGATCAATTTATGCTTTATGTTTCGAATTTTTTATCAATATCATGAGAGAAATATGAAGTTCGAAGTATTTTATATTTTAAAGATTCCAAGGCTTGGAGTCTTAAATGAAAATCATGTTGATTTGAATAGAATCAATACATCTAAATGTTTACGTAAAGGGAAGCTACATTTTCTTACCAAAATGGACAATACTTTGTCTTAAAAGCAGTATTTGTTATAGTATCAATTTTTCACACTATTCCAGTGATACATTGAGCGCATATATTTAGAGTTTAAATTAATCGCGTGAGTCGTAGCCGCGTAACCGCGTTTAAATCTTCTTGAACTTGAGACTGGTCGAACTTATAGCGATAACGAAGATTCACCGCAGCCCTGTTTACTCTGCCAGATGGGGAATCCGCGTTCATCCATCGTCAAGCGTTTCGGGGGTGCCCGACGGCCCGTTTTCTCTATTAATCCGGAACGGCACTTCATCAGTCATAATTCAAGCCGATTGGCCGTGTCGAGAGCTGTCCGAGTTTTCCGCGAAAAGCCGAGTGAGAAATTTTCGCGAGCTGTGCCAAAATTCGCGCTAGCCAGCGTCACGAGCGTCACCCCTCCCATCGTTCGCGGTCCCCCTCCTCCGCGCAGCGTCACGGGAATTGACTTGCGCCGCGCGACAGCGAAGGAGAAACCGCTAGCCACGCCCTCTTGCTCCCACCACCGCGGGACTCCCTCCTACGCGCTCTCACGTGACCTCTCCCACCAGATGTCTCGCCGTCAGTCTCGCGGCGTCCCTTCGCCACCTTTCCCCTGCCTGCTCGCGGTTCCGCCCCCCACCGCTGCCAGAGAGAAACCTCACGGTTTTTCGCTACGTCGTCGTGTGGCCCCCTCGTCCTTCGCACCGTCGAGTGTCAGCGAGACGCCCAACGCGTCACAGTGTTGCCAAATCCGCGAGAGCTTTTCCACCGGCGAGACCGAGCCACTGTGATTTCCAGAAACACTTTCTGCGAAAGCTGGCTCTGGGAAATTGGCGATCCTTTTACTTGCTTTGGCCAGTTCTTCGAGACGAACAGATCGCAAGAGTAACTTTTGTTGTAGAATTTTTAAATGTAGAATTTATTGGAGAATCGTTAACTTTCGGGAGAGTACGAGGACAGTGTTTCGGTTAGTTGTTCCAAGATCCAATTTTATTTTTATTATTGTGTTGGAACAGAAATTACATAGTCGCTCAAATTTTTCTATAAATACAATACTACTTTTTCGCAAAAAAGATTTCTATGTTCTGGACAAAGTCCACCAAAGTTGAAAATATCTAAATTACCGCAACAGTACTTAACAGTCCATTTTAGTACCACCTTGGAAGTCCTTTCACCTCATCGACAATGCGATCGATAAATGAAACTCTTCAAGACGGAAGAAGTTTCTCAATAGGGTTTTCCATCGCAGTCTATAAAATTTAAGCTTGAAATGACGTCTCTATTAACGGGCAGGGTCTCGTAACCAATTTTTTCCCACTAAATCTTGCAGAACGTCTTAGACAAATTTACTTCGACGTCATTCTTTCTCGAACCCCATTACCCACGAAAAATATCTCCATTCAACAAGTTTTAATCCAGGCTGCCTTCCCGAGGAAAGTGGTCGAATCCGATGAATTACAGTTTCTAACATTCAAATTGATACGACTTAATTTATCAAGCATCATCTGGCCTTTATTAGAATTTACCACATGGTTGATTGTTCATTTTATTCTATTTTAAATTATATTTTGTTTCATTTTACATATTTATATCATTTCTGCTCAATAAGTGTTTAATTTTGAAAGCAGGGAAATCATTTTGTTTATATTTAAGCTTCGATGATGATTTCCCATTGAGCGTGTTGGGTTAACTTCGTCGACGACCTGTTCGCGGATTTCCACGCGGATCAAGATAATTCCGCGATGTGAACTCGCGCGATCAGCCGCGATTAACAAGCGTTAACGTCTGGCTGCCTAGCGTGTGCTCTCAAAGACATACCTGGAAGTAATATAGTTTCGATACTCGGCCTCAGAATATTCGCTGCGGCTGTAACAGACTCTGAATGCGCATTGCGATCGCGCTGGTGTAAATAGAGACGACCACAGTTACGATCAATTCTGCCAGTTTTCAACGTTTCGATGCTCGACGCCGTTTATTGTCGTCAATGATAGCCAATTTTCACTCGAATAATAAATAACAAATATAAACACGGTGCAATCATTGGTATATGTCAATATTAAATAAAACAACTAAAATCTCGTCGTTTTAAAAACCAGAGAATGTACGATTTTTATAATTTGTGTTATGGAGATGTTTTGTTTTATTGCCACAGCCGTTTTTATGTACTGTTTGTAATAGAGAAAACATTGGCTTCGATCTTCTTCTTCTATTACATTTCAACAAATTTGTATTCAAGGTTCATGGTAGCGTCTCCTCGCATTGGTCAGTTATTACTTATTATTATTACTACAAGTGCCGCGAATTGCCCCCCAGAGTGTGCATATTAATGTGTATTGTCAGCTGTCGTGTGTCTGCTAGACAGCCACGAGCGACAACAAACGGGAATTGCTTCCGAGGCAGCGAGGACACCCGTACCTACATAAGTGCATACGTGTTCTGCTCGCTACGTTGCATTAATTATTGACAAAAAATGTCTTGACATATTCTGATACACCTGGGGGTATCGATGGATCAATACCGAACACAGGGACGAAATTACCCTCCGTCGTATAATTTACTATGTCGCTGACAGTGTCCGCGGATCCTCGTGATCCTTCATTACAAAATTATTCTTAGTGCCACGGTACATTCTGGGAAAGACTAGGTTTGGTTTAATTTTTAAGCAATTCTTAAATTGAAAATGGCTACAATTCTCAATTATTATGAACATTTATGTCTCACATTTTGGAGAAAACTAAAAGCATAGTTAGTTGAGTAAATAGAGTACTGAAAGCAAGAATGTTCATTTTTACAAGAGCAATTGACGGACAGATAGCTAATTGGCACATACCCTCGCCGAAAAAGCGACGAAGAAAGGAGAAGTATCGTGAAAGTTTTCCTTCCTTTCGCAAGCGAGGAACGAATTCACCTTGCACGATGATATTTGATACGTAGGATGAAAGGTTCCTGTTTCAGGCTTCCTTTTTGATCGTGTAACACTTAGGATCAGCTTCTCTGCCCTCAGCCACGGCGTACTTTTGAATTCTGCGAATTACTCTTCAAATAGTTGCAAACTTCTCGGCGAGAGTAGCAACAAGCTGCTGCGCTCGGCTGTTAGGTATATACCTCTCTCTTAAGCCGTTTACACGCTCGAGAAAGAGCACCATAATGCGATCCCGACTTGTGACATCGAAAATGTAACGGCGGAGTGGAATTTTATTCTGGGACATTTCGTAACTTTCGTGCGCATTCCTCAATGACAAACAACGGTGTTCCGTATCCTCATGAAACTTCGTTACAACCACCTACGTGGCTTTATCTGTTTCGCGAAGAGACGTTCTCTGGGAAATTTATACTCGACTAGACTCATTTCTTTGTACAATATTTGTGCAAGCACGCATGTGACTTCATTTGCTTATTCACTTCATGTATTTATCGAATTGTATTTAGATTAAAATTAATTGTACGTTATTGAATTATACGCAATTTCATTAAATTGTATTCAATTGCGGTTATAAATGATGGATAGCGTTCGTTGGTGTACTGTGAGACGTGCACTCTATAAATAAGACACGTCATTCTTGAAACAGTCAATTGAGAAGATCACTTCAGGGTCAATCTCCACGGGACATCGTCGGTAGCTGCTACAACTTCAAAATGAACATTATTGATAATTAATTATACTATTAAACGACTCGCCAGAACAAAGTGCAACACAACAAGTAGATAGAAAGGCAGAAAACATTGTCAACGATTGAATACACTGTCAAAACCGAAATAATCAGTAGGAATTGCATTGGGAGTGGCTGTTCTTGATGAATGACAGTGCATCGTAAGATATATGACTAAACAAGATGCATCATTTCTGATATGGTCACTTAGTACTATCATTTGTAGACCTCATCATTACTGGAAATGATAAATAGCTATTGAAAGTTGAGGATATCCATTATGGACAATTGAAACAGTGTCACTAGACTCACCAAGCAGTATAGTGTACTGTTTTTCGACTCAATAGAACGCATACCATGAGAAAACACAAGAAGTGATACTTAGGACTGATCATTTTGGAAGATGTGCACTTGCAAGCATAAATAAAGCTATCAACAATGAAGTACGAAATGTATGTAATCCTTAGCAGATAACTACATAGTCAGGGGGCTACAAAGTACCCATCAGAACAAGATGGGAAGTAGGTGTTCTTGAACATGGCTTTGTTGTTAATTAACAGTG